ATATATATATATACATATACATATATATATATTTACTGTATGTGCGTATAAATACATATGAATATAGCATAGTAATAAAATCGGCGTTGTTGGCAGTTGTGTGTGTAAATTAAAATGTATTTGAAGATAAGAGATCGATAAGATCAATACATGTGTCTGTGCAGGCGCGGGCTCTGCTCTGCTGTTCGTGCAACCTCCACATATTCCTCTTACTCCGTCTCTCTCTGTCTCTGTCTCTCTCTCTTTTCTCTCTCTCTCTCTCTCTCTCTCTTTCTTGTCTCTCTGTCTCTCTCTCTCTCTCTCTCTATCTTTCTGTCTCTCTCTCTCTCTCTCTCTCTCTCTTTCACTCGCTCTCTCTCTCTGTCTCTCTTTCGCTCTCTCTCCCGCTCTCTCATTCACTCTCTCTGCGTGGCTTTAGTTGAATTGTTGTGGAGAAAGAGCATCAATAACTCATGAAGATCTGATGAGTTGATGCAGATTCGTCTGCACGCATATTTATAACAATATTGATCTCCGTATCGATGATTTATTTTTCCCTTCCTGCGGCAGGCAGATTTTTATTTATTATTCTTTTCCTCCGTAACGATATTGACCTCCGTATCGATGATTGATTTTTCCCTTCCTCAGTAACAATATTGATCTCCGTATCGACGATTGATTTTTCTCTTCCTCAGTAACAATATTGATCTTCGTATCAATGATTGATTTTTCATCTTCCTCAGTAACAATATTGATCTCCGTATTGACGATTGATTTTTCTCATTCCTCAGTAATGATATTGATCTCCATATCAACGATTGATTTTTCTCTTCCTCAGTAACAATATTGATTTCTGTATCAATGATTGATTTGTTATCTTCCTCAGTAACAATATTGATCTTCGTATCGATGATTGATTTTTCTCTTCCTCAGTAATGATATTGATCTCCGTATCGACGATTGATTTTTCATCTTCCTCAATAACGATATTGATCTACGTATTGATGATTGATTTTTCATCTTCCTCAGTAACGATATTGATCTACGTATTGATGATTGCTTTTTCATCTTTCTCAGTAACGATATTGATCTACGTATTGATGATTGATTTCTCCTCTTCCTCCTGTAGGCGTCATCGCCAGCAACGGCGTGTCGCGAGCGGAGGCATGGACGCTCGTCCGCGTGCTACCACCGGCGCCCTCTACACTGCTGCTGGAGCTGTCCGACGCCACGGCGGGCGACCACCCGTCGTGCATCCCCGCGGAGACCGTTACCATGGAGACCGTTACCGTGGACGACGCGCGTCGTATCCTTGTGTTCGCCGGGAGAGAGGCGCGGCTGCGAGCGTCCGTCGCGACGGGGGTGAACGTGACGTTCCACTGGCGGTTCAGTGTGGCGGAGGAGGAGGAGGAGGAGGAGGAGGAGGAGGAGGAGGAGGGAGGAGGTCGTGCGCTGCTGGTGCAGAGGAGCGATCGTGAGGAGTGCCGCGGCCTCGCGTGCCTCGTCAACGAGCAGGTGAGACGGCATCGGGGTCGAGGGGTCGTGAGACGAGACGCGGGGACGGGTGTCTCGGGGGCCGCGAATCGAACGATAGGCTGGGATTTGACTTGAGTAGATAGGCTGAGATTTGACTCGAGTAGATAGGTTGAGATTTGACTCGAGTAGATAGGCTGAGATTTGACTCGAGTAGATAGGCTGAGATTTGACTCGAGTAGATTTTTATAGTATTTACATTTAAATAGCCATGTTATGTATGTTCGTGGAAAGAATATATGTTTATGCCATCTCGTTTAACCACGGAAACGTGTTTTTCTTATTGCAGAAGCACACATTTACCGAGGTTGGACTGTCAGTTGTGCGGCTGCGCGTTTATAACAGCTATGGCAGCGTAGAGCAAGACTTCAACATCGTAAGTAACCCAGTATCTAAAAACGAGCATTAAAAATAAAAAATACTAAAATGTAGTAAAAGTAAAATAAAGTGGAAAATGAAGCGCCCCCCAAAAAAGTAGAAAAAATTAACGTAAAATAAAAAAGTAGAAAATTAAGTGCGCGAAAGAAAACCCGCCGTCGATTTCTCTGCGCGTTTGCGAGGTTTCCGTGGAAACGCTCCCGGTTAGATCGCGTTCTCAGCAGATAAAATAAAGAAGCAGAAAATTAAGTGTGTGAAAGTAAACCTGCCGCAAAAAGTTGTCCACGCGTTTGCGAACGCTCGCGCATCTGATAGGCTCTCAGGATTCTGACCTTTGTACGCAGGTGGCCGTGGCCTCCCGTCTCTCCGACCATTCATTACTAACCATAACCATTTACTAGTCGCTCCGACCTTTGTACGCAGGTGGCCGTGGCCTCCCATCTCTCGGATTACTCATTACTAATCATGACCATTACTATAGTCACTCTGACCTTTGTACGCAGGTGGCCGTGGCCTCGCGTCTCTCCGACCTGACCATCGACTCGCCGGCGGATCACCTCGTGCGTCTGCCCGACGCCGCCGTCCTGCGACTCTCTCTCTACACGACGTCTCGGCGGACGACGCGCCTCTCTCTCGACTTCGGCGACGGCCGGCGGAGCGACGCCAGCCTCCGGGACGACGCGGGGGAGGATGCGGGCAAGGATGCGGGGCGGCGCGTCGCCACGACGACGAGTTACGGCGTCGGCTGCCGACTGCACGTGAGCGTCGAACACGAGTATGATGCCGAGGGCGTGTACAACATCACCGCCCGCGCGTACAACGTTGCCGATAGCGCGTACAACGTTGCCGCCGCTGCCGAGGGTGCGTCCAACGTTGCCAAGAAGTCGTACAACACCACCGAGGGCCCGTTAAACCCGCACAACAGCAGCAGTGCGGCGGAAGAGGCTGCGGCGGCGGCGGCGGAGGAGGCGGAGGAGGAGGCGCGTCACGCGCTGACCGTCATGCGGAAGCTGCGCGGCGCGGAGGTGCGCGGCGATCGCGCGGTTGCCGCCGGCTCCCTCGCCCGCCTCACCCTCCACCTCCAGCAGGACTCCGCCTTCAAGCGCGTCGCCTGGTACGTCGCCGACGCCGCGTCGCCGTCGCTACGGCGACTCGCCGAGACGTCGGCGACGCTCGTGCACGCGTTCCCCGCCGTCGGGGTCCACCGCGTGGGGGCGCTAGCGTCGAACGCGCTCGGCGAGGCGCGCGCGGACTTCGTCGTCGTCGACGTGCAGCGTCCGATCTCGGGCCTCGCTGTTACCGCCGCGCCGCGCGTCGTCGTCCGCGGCTCCCAGGTGGCGCTGACCGCCGCCCTGCGCGACGGCACGGGGGTGGAGTTTGCGTGGGAGGTCGCCGGGGGCGACGTGGTCGTCGTCGGGGGCGACGGGCGATCGGAGACGGCGCGGGTCGTGTACGAGCGCGCGGGCGCGTACGCGGCGGCGGTGACGGCGGCGAATTCGCTCGGGCGCGTGACGGCACGCGTCGCGGGAGGCGTCCTCGTCCAGGACCCCGTCGCCGGCCTCGCACTGGTGGCGCCCTCACACTCGCCCGCCGGCGCCCCCACGCGCGTCGTCGCCGCCGTCGCCGCGGGAACCAACGTGAGTTTCGTCTTCGAGGCGGACGGCGAGATCGTGGTGGGCGACGGTGGCGCCGCCGCGGTGGTGACCTTCGCGGAGGTCGGGGAGCGGCGCGTGAGCGTGCGCGCGTCCAACGGTGTGTCGTCGCTGACGGAGGCGGGAGTGGTGGCTGTTCTGCGCAGGTTTGACGGCGTGACGGTGGAGGCGGTCGGGGACGTCGTCGCTCGCAGGCGGAGCGTGTTCGTCGCAAAACTAGACGGTGAGTGAACAGTTGTGTGTGTGCGTGAGTGCGTGTGTGTGTGTGTGTGTGCGTGCGTGCGTGCGTGCGTGTCCTCGCTCTCTCTGTGCGTGTGTGTCTGTGCTTACGTGCGCATGTGTATGTGCGTGTACGTGTTCCTTGCATGTGTTTTGAGGCGTTTTTAAATTATACTTATTTGTTTGTGTGCGTGCGTGCGTGCGTGCGTGTGTGCGTGTGTTTGGTTGATTTGGTGAGTGCATGAACATTTAGTTGAACACATGTGCTACACGTACTGTCTGCCACACTTCATCATACAGGCTGAATACGTGTACAGGAGTCATGCAAGGGTTCTCTAATCCTATACTAACGAAGCACTAGTTCTCTCTCTCTCTCTCTCTCTCTCTCTTTCTCTCTCTCGTCCCTGCTAGGTGTTCTTGATGACAAACAGTTGGGATTTTTATATCGTGACTGAACACGTACACACTCTCTCTCTCTCTCTTTCTTCCCTACCAGGAATTCTGATGACAACTCCTGACATCGTCTTCGTCTGGGATTTCCCCGGCAACTCCTCCGACCTCGCGACGATGGCCCCCATGGCGTCCGGCGTGTTCTCGGAGCCGGGCGAGCACACGGTTGCC